AAAATTGTTTTTTCAAACAATCTGCTACTGTTATGTTTCATTTATATTACAATTTGGAGTAATATACGAAATAAATTTGTATTTATCACCGTATAATATAAACATAAGAAACATACTTATAATTCTTGCCAATTAATCATTTCAATTTAAAACACTTAGAAATTGTAATTTGAAATTTTTATATGATGTTTCGTCCCGCGTTTCAAAAACGCAGGAAGACGATTTAATTTTTCAACGAACTGCTCTGATTCGCGTAAAAATGGCAAAAATGGTAAAAATTATAGAATAAAAGTCCTTCATTTTGTTTCTTAACCTCATTTCTCCATCTTTTAACCTTCATTATGCGATTCTATCGATGTAATTATAAGATTATAACAAATTAAAATATTTGAAATTAAACATAAGTTTTATGCTTTAGTTTTAACCCCTTTACGAGTACGATCGTGCATGTTCGGCTGAAAGACTTGCGAAAACAATATTGCACAAGTATAACACGCGTACTGAGAAGAAAAATCCAAGATTACGCGAGTAAAATTGGAAAGTAATTCAACGACGGATACGATATTTACGATAAACGTTTGTCGAAGATACGAGCCGTGGTGGCGCTAGTGACTTAAACGGAAAATCATCTTAAGAATGCCGAAACGCTTACTCGTGAAAGAGTTGAACTGAAATTCGAAAGTAGACAGATGGATTGTTACCCTGATTTCGCAAATCGACTTATGGGGGCCATTATGCTGTGTCAAATTACCGCCAATAGCTGTTCGGCTAATTTCAATATTCGCATCGAAGTATTTCTTCTTTTAAATTATCCTCTTACAATCTCGTAGCAACTAAATCTAAATTATCTTCGTCTTCATTGTACTTTTTCATCAGCCTTCAACTATCGTCCGGCGGCAAGGAAACACAGTGACTTAAAATCAGGGGAGAAAGAACGACTTCTAATTGTCTCTGCCCCGAGTTACTATCTCGCTCACTTCAAAATCGCCGTTTCGACTCGTTTCGATAATATCGTGAAAAATAAATACGTTGCGTTCCGCATGATGATCGCTCGCTTTACCAAAAAATCCCGAATCGAACGAAAAAACGTCATCTTCGATTCAATCGATTCTCTTTTCGTTTGGCTAAATTTTGAAAGGTGACAACGACAAGATCGGCATCGTGCCAGGCGCTTCTCCTGAATTTTTTAATGTTTTCTTCATTTTTTACGAAATAAACGCGCGAGAGACGAAAGAAACGCGACTCGATGGCAACGTTACGAAAAGTACAACGTCCCATCGTCGTCGTCGCGTGATCTTTTCCCTTTTCCTCCCCTTTCCCCGCTGTTCCTTCACCATTCTCGTAATCCTAGCATATCGTCGCTTTTTCGATCGTTCTCGTGTCGTCTTTTTATTTAAATTTTATTTTTTAATTTTATCTCTTTCTCCCCGGTTTCGGAATACGCCTAGAACGATGCGATCCGAAAAAATGGCGTACTCGTCGTACCGATAATATAAAACATGAACGTGATTGCCTGGTTTGAATTACGAAGAATGAACGTGATACGCGTTAGTCGCGGATTACAATTTACCGTATTTATTTTGTGACCAGTCCGGCGATTCGTTCATCATCCACCGTAATCATCTGGACAGTGACCAACGATGATCAGGGCTCAAAACGAATCGGTTTTCGTCTACGGCTCTTCTTTCGTTTTCTCCATTTTCATTCTCCGTTTTTCTTTTACATATTTTTTTGTTTCTCCCTATAATTATCACTGCCCGGAGAGAATAGTTTCGACGATTAAACGTATTACCTTACGATCGGGTTTCACATCGTTTTACATATTTTTACCATTTTTTCTTATTATTATTACATCTGCGGTCACGTGTCGCACGGTGTTTTTCGATAAAATCGAAATTTTTCGGTTTAAAATTCGGGAATTCATTCAGCGCGTTACTTCGTTATTCACGATAAGAATACGTATATACAATTAATCATCATAAGTGGTTTTGTGTCAGTCGTTATTGAGCAGGACGTTATACTGATCCGACATTGTGCTATGATAACGGACAAATCAACGAGAATGAGCAAAACGGAAGGACAGCGTAAAACGACGATAAAATTAGTACAACGCTCTTGTCATCTTTTTTTTTCTTTTTTCAAACTCGGCCGTTTCGCGCGCGCGCGCGAAATTCAAACGGCGCTTAACGCTCTTCGAGTCGTTTTCATTCGCTCTTCGAGTCGTTTTCATTCGTTCTTCCCTTTTCTCCCGTCTGATTCCCTTCTTCTTTTTCTTTTTTTTTTCTTTCCTCTCCTTTTCTCCCTTTAATTATCGGTCTTATTTATCCTCTCTTATATCGTTCCTCTGATCTAAAAGTTTACGATCGAAGCATCGAACTATCAGCGACGAATCGATGGCGGGTCGAAGAAACGAACAACGTAAAATCGGAAACAGCAAAAAGATTCGTTCGATAACTTCCTCTATTGATTTTCCCGTTAAAGGGAACCTATTGTGCCTTACTTAGAGATATCCGCGAGAAACGAAATTCGTAGCATCCAACGAACGAAAGAAACGAACGGACAGAATACTCGTTAGATCTACTATAAAATATATGCATATATTATATATATAGAGAGAGGGAGAGACCACGCCCGATGGAAGAGTTCGCATTTGCGCGTCAACATGGCGGGGCTTCAAACGATACAACAATCAAAACGAAGCACGCACAGATAAACTAAAATCGTTTCAATCTCATCCCCATTTATTTTTCCCCTCCTTACCTCCTTTCCTTTCGCATTCCTCGCAACGCACTTGTATTTTTTTGTTTCTTTTTTTTTCTTTTTTTCTTTTATCGTTTTCTATTTTTTTCCGTTTTCATCCCTTTCTCCTTCCCCTTTCCTTTTTTTTTCCTTTTTTTTTTCTTCAGGAGTTTCGACTTCGCAAATACACTTGCTCGGAAATAAAGTTTCTACGCTCCGTGTGTCCCGGTGAATCGTAATCTCGCTCGATCCACTCGGTTCAGTCCATTTTCGTATATTTTTTTTTTTTTACTTTTTTTTCCATTTTTTTTTCTTTACGGTTTTTCTTTCCATCTATATAATTCACATTGAACAATATCCTCAGTCTCGACTGGTCAATGAGCAATACATTAGAGATCCCGAAGATCTCGAAAAAGTCCAAAGGAGAGCAACGTATGCGAGAGAGAGAGTGTGTGTGTGTTCTTCGTCGCGTGTGATACTATCGCCTCGATCGATAATTAATATCTAAATGTATATCTCTCGTGATAATGCGATTTTTTTTTCCTCGTAATATCGGCTAATTGTCCCCTTGAGAACGTCGTTTTTCTCTTTTACGTCTTTTTCTTTTTTTTCTCTTTTTTCGTCCTTTTGTAATTTTTCTTCTTCTCTTCGTCTCTTTTGGTTCACCTCGAGTCAATGTTAATCATCGGGTTAAATAGTATGCTTAACATTGACTCGTTAATTCCGTTTAGACTGAGGATTTTTATACACAGGAATCATTGTTGCATTAACGATTTACTTTTCAATTATATTACGTTATATTATTTATAAATTTATTCGCATGTAGTTCGTTAACAGGCCGTGGCTATACAGGGCCCACTACATTGATTTTCATTTTGTGGCACGCGGTCTTCCGAATATGTTACAGGTGTGTGTATGTGTGTATAATAATATGTATACGGTCGCATAAGAGCTTATATCCTTACACCATTTTCGTTTTCTTTATGTATATATATATTCATTTATATATAATATACTTCCTCGACTACTTCCTACCGTACCGAGCGTTGTTATTTCGTTGCGCTTTCCTTGGTCTTTTATATGGTCATCGAACTTCAGGCACGGATTATTGAAAAGTCTTCTGTCGAAGTACACTTTGTTCTCCATTACTTCTACCAATTCCCCGTTCTCTCCTCTGCTCTCCAATACCCAGCCCTTCTGTACTTCTCAAAACACAAGCGTACGAGCCTTCGAACGAACCCGAGCATCCCCTGCGTCGTCCTCGCACTCCTCGAGATCACGTTAGAGGGCATCGACGGTACGCCCTATCCCTTGCGCTCTTCCCGAATAGAATTATCACGCGAATTACACACGACGCACCATAGAAAAATGATCGCGACGCAGGGTACGCGGTCCGTCCGATTGGCCAGCGACAGACTTTGAAGTTTCGCGTTGCACGCGGACCGACTTCCGGTCGCGTACACTTGTCCCATCTCGCAGCTTCATCCACGGTGACTAGACACGCGGTGACGAAGACGCAACGATGCCGTTTGTCGGTCGTTTCGTCTATTCCTGCGTCTGAATGCCATCGTCACCCTGGACCAGATAGCTGTACCAGTAGCCCAGATTGAATATCAGAAACACGAGAGGGAAAGCGATACGCGAGACGAAATCGATGCCCGCGGTACCTTTATCCCGGCAGACGAACCAACGGCGCGGTAAAAGACCCCAGCATATCCTCTCGGTACGTGGAAGCGGAAGTCGTTGAAAATGGCGGCTGCTTTGGGGTGGTGGTATCGATCGGACAGTCGCCGTGGGTAATGACGGGGTTGCTCTGCGAGACGTGGAGGGCGAGGGCGACGACGAGGGCGAGGGCGAGGGTGAGGGCGAGGATCTCGCAGGGCTTTTGCAAGAGTGCCGTGTACTCCTTGGTGAATATCGACAGCTATCCGCGACGTTGCGCAACGGAGAGACAGATGCTAATCTTGGTTGCTGCGACTGATGCATGTGGTAACGATGATGGTGTTTGTGTCTCGATGGTGCCGGCGGTGGTGGCGGCAGCGGCGGCTGTTCTTGTTCGTGTTCGTGTTCATGTTGCTGCTGCTGCTGCTGCTGCTGCGGCTGTTGCTGTTGCTGTTGTTGCTGCGGCTTTTGCTGCTGCAGGTGTTGTTGTGGCTGTTGCAGAGTAGTGTGTTGGTGACCGTGATGGTGGAGTCGACATTGGCACGACAGTGGAGGTTTTTGGTGATGGTGATGGTGGTGGTGGTGGTGGTGACGAGATCGTGAACGATGATGAGGTTTAATAGTGTGAGAATGTTGGGAATGGCCGCGAGCCACGTTCCTTGTTCCAAGCGCTTCCTCGTCGATATTTACTCGTCCCCCTCCTCCTGTCGAAACAGGTACGCGCACCAGTACATGAGGTTGAAGAAAGCGAATACGATGGGGAAGAATATCCGTGAAATGACGTCGATGCGCTTGGACCTCGTTGGGAACTTGGACAGCCACGACCTGCAGCAGTTTTTTTTTCGTGGTTGCATATGTAAATCGCAGTTCTGCATCCTATCTGACATGGTATCGTCCGGCTGTCGGACCAGAGGTTTCTGAAAAAAATTATCACGACGTCCGGGTATTAGTCGCGCGTCATTTTCTGCCAATCTATTTTTTACTTTCACAGCGTCTTTTTCTTTCTCTTTTCTTTTTCTTTTTCTCTTTTCTTATTTTATTTTTTTCTATAAATATATATTGGAAAAAGAAATACTACTTTTTGGAAGTTTCCTTTCACAGTGACTCATTCACGCGTTGCAGGATTAATTTTTCTTCCCGATTTTTACTCGAAAGACGTGAAGAAGCTCGTTCTGCTTTGTGGCAACGCGTCAACGAATCACTGTACAGGAACAAGGAACGATATATATTTTTCCCTGAGTAATAGTGACATTTCGAAAGGAAGATCGCATTTAATTATCGAGAATATTCGATCGTAATAGAAATGGAAAGAACATTTAGAGTTAACTGTTGTGCAATTTTTTGGCCAAAGTGTTTGCTATTTTCTCGTATCTCCCGTTCGATTTGCATCGTAGCGCATCGTAGTTTGGTTTCCGATATTCGTGAAACGTATCGCGACAAAACGTGGACAACGGTCAGAGATGCCGAAAGAGTAATCTAAATCACGAGTGGAGAATATTTCCTCTATAGATTTCTTCCTGAACGGATGATCTAAGATCGTATAAATATCATGCAAATGGTACTCTGGTGGTCTACGCGCACATCCAACTTTGATCAACGATGATTGGAAAAGTTAACTCGAACGAAAATATTACATACTCGCTTTAAGAAATCTTTCTGTATTTACTCTCGATCGTTAAATAAATTCTCATTGAACAAATTGACAAGTATCTTTGCAAGTGTATGAAAATGGACATTTTTCTTTCTGATACGATGTAACGACAACTTTTAACTAGCTAGATAATGTAGCAGGCATTTGTTGTAAAAATATAATGTTCATTACCATTAAACTATAGCACGTAATATATCTCTAAAATCCTCAATTATTTACCAAACGCTGAAAGTCACATTACTGAATGTAAAATCAAATTAAATATAAAATACTAGACTTTAAATGAATTATTTACCTGTAGAGAATGTTGAAGTGATCCATCATATCCGGTCTAGCAGTTTACAATAATAAAAGTAAAATAATAGAATAAATGTACGTTATGACAGCTAGGTCAGAATTTCTCAATGTTACGCGCTTCAGGCGACTATATTGTTATAAACAAAAAAAAAAAAAATTTTATAACGTATTACGATTAATGCTCTATGCTTTATGAAACACCTTACAAGTAGCTAATAAAGTACAGAATAATTACCAAACAAATGAAAAGAAGCTTAAGATTGAAAAATCTCGTTTCTCTAATAGTCGCTTAAGAATCAGGAAGAGTCCAACAAAGATCCCAACACGCGATAATTAAAATTGCAAAAAAATAATCGTAAAAGCAGCCACGAATATTGCTATTACGAAAAGATGTAACAAAGAATATAGCAATTGAGAACTCGAATTTAAGAAAGATAAATAAAGAAGAAAAATGGAGACGTATGAGACTACGTTACTTATAGATTCTGAATTATTATTTTTAATTAGGAATCGGAAGAAGGAGTTCATCAGAAAGGGACCAAGACATATCGATGTCTAGCATCGCGTGTATAGAACGTTAATAACGTGGAATTACTTAAGGATCGTGGAATTACCTCCCTCTTCGAGGATCAATTTTTGTTGCATACACTCGAGGATAAGAGGCATGGGATATTTCATCTAGATCGGAGAGCAGAAGGGAAAATGGTGGGAAGGAAAGAGGCGTTAAAAGAAGCACTTAAGGTGCAACGAACATTGAACGGGTGTAATATCGTTGGATACTGACCATAACGAAATTCGACGTGTTATCTGGTTCGATTTGATCAGAAGGCAGATCCATCGAGCTGGGTTGTTCCGTTTCAGACGGTGAAAACTTTTTCTCTATATTATCTCTGTGCATATCGCTCCGAGATGCATAATTCACTAGGGCAAATTCGAGGAGAGCGCCGAATACGAAAGTCAAGCACACGCCTGTCCAAATATCGATAGCCTTTGTATAAGAGACTGGTGGCAGTGAGGCATTTATTCCTGACGTCTGCGTGGCCATCGTCAACAAGGTGGTCACACCTAATTTCGATAATCACCGATATGGATTAACGAATTCCCAAAGTCCCAAAATTCACGCAACAAACAATTTTGATAGGAAGCACAGGTTATTAAATTGTAGATATTGCTCAACAATGAAGACGCGTTGTTCCTTCCCATCCATTTTTGCTAACCTTGAACTGTCAGCTGCCTTTCTTTTTCCTTGACAACACTTTGAATCTTGCGTGAATTTTGGGACACGCTATAAATCAAATCACGGATATTATAATTGACGGAATTAAAATCGAAATTAAAACAGGCAATTTTAACTTGAAGTTTACCCAGTGAAACTCGAGCTGGTACAGCACTTTGATCGAGCCAGAACGATACCCAGGATACAATGACAAGCATGCAGCAGGGAATGTAGATTTGAATAAGATAGTAACTGAATTCTCTCTTGAACAGCAAGTCAACCTTCAGGCAGCTGTACTCGCCTACAAATTTTACAGATCTCTTGTTAACATTACATATAGCTAGCTAAATGAGAGTAATGAAATTAGAGAGAAGAAGGATCTCACTGACCAGTATTTGTCTTGCTGTTGCAATAATCGGTAAGAAATTTCTCCAACGTGAACCGAGGCAGGTGTAGGTTTTTAACAACTTGAACAGGATCTCCTTCCTTCCATAGGAAAACCAAATCATCGGTTGTCCAACCATCTGGAAAAATGAAATCCCCTGGTTAACTTGTCTCTCTTCGCGAATTACTTGGATCGTTCAGAAAATGCTTAAAGTTGGTCCAGTGACAGAAACGTTAGCAAGAATTACAGAATGGGAGAGAAAGTTTCAGTGATCTACGGCTAAGTTTGAAATCTATACGGGATACGTATGGTGTAAAAATCTAATACTCACAGCTTGCCATACGTAGTGAGCAAATTTGTCGATCCAAGGGATACAATTTTAAATTCATCGGGCATGATAACGTTAAAGATATCCTGAAACGTGAAACACAAGGATGTTTTAGTATTCCAAAGGCAGCTGTAAAGTTACATCTATTTCTTCGAGTACATTGGTATTAATCATAATTACCGTATACTGTATAGAACGGAACCTTTGGGGAAAATACGAATGTATACATTCGGCATAATAATGTTGTGAAAATGACCTTCCTTCTCGTTCGCAAAGAACAGATCTGGCATCCAAACGCGACTCGCATCCGTTAATGTTAAATACTTTAGACGACCTGCAATTTTAAACGTGTAATAGAATGGAAGTGAGATGAAAATCTTTAGAAACGGTGAGACGGAACAAATGAAAAATTCTTCGTACCTCCAAAATCATTAAATTCTAATCGTTCGTCCAGCCATTGTTCCCGGAATGTTAACTGTACAGAGTACTCCTGCAGAGAGAAACAAATGGGAATGATTTAATCGCATGAATCGTGACCGTGTAAAGATGAATAGCAAATAAATTATGCTCGGAATGATCGTTATTATAAATAACTGCGTGTATTTGTGTTTTATATAAATATCATCTTTTCCGTAATTTTGATTTTCTGATAATAAAAAAATTCGAGGATTTTTGACGGATTTTTTTGTAGAATAATTCGATCTTTAAGGGGTTAATTTAACGAAGCCTCGTATGACTAATTTTCGTCGATATTTTAATTATTCTTTCCTACGTCGGCTATGAAATCTCTATGCCACTTTCTAGTCGTGAAATTAATCTACGGAAATCAACGAGTAGGGAAAATTAATCGAATTAATACAGCGAAAATAAATCATTTACGCAAATAATTGACAATTCGTGGTAATTAACAAATTTAAAGGCCAACAGAACAAAACAAATTATATAATCTTCGTTTCATATACGAAGAAAATTGGCCGAAGGAACAGATGTACGTAAAAAAGAAAATGAAATCTATCGGCCATTACTTTGGTCGTCGAAATTAATTTACTGACCTGGTTAACGTCCATAATAAACTCGAATGTTAATTTCATTTTTCACAAGTTCGCTACTTTAACTTCAAGCACTCGAGCAAAGTTCGTATAATTGATCAATGTTTCCTATTTCTAATCGAATTCTCTTTAAGAAGGGAGGAAATAAAACGTGTACGGGGTCAGTAATTAAGATCGTCGTCTCAGAGTGTTCGAAAATGGCCGAGAAAACTGAACTCGAAATTTTCAGGACCGATCAGGAGTGAGATCCCGTCGATCCCAGCGAGAAAATTACAAAACGAAGGAAGAAAAAGCAAAAGAAGAAACAGAACGAAATCTCTCTAGAAGAGAGTGAGCAAAGACGCCATATTGGCACCTTCGCAACCCCGTGACATCCTATATACCTACTCGGAAGTACCGAGGTACCTCGTGAGACCCTTTAACGCTCCACAGCCACTCGACGGTCCATCTTCCGTCTCGAATTCGATTTTCTTCTTGCCGATCAAAGAATCCGAAATTTTCTCGCTGCTCGGTAGCCAAGCTATCTTTTCACGCGGACACGTGCAGCTTTAAAAAGCTCTTTCTCCGAGGCACCGGAAGGATAAGGGCCGGCGAGAGACGTGGAAGAAGAAGAAGAAGAAGAAGAAGAAGAAGAGAAAAGGCGGAAGAAGAAAAAAGATTAACCCTGGACGGTTTTAGAGGTCGTTTCGTCAGCAAAGAGCACTTCTGCTCCGACGACGAAAGGTCGTGGTAAATTTTTCCTTTTTTTTTCCTCGTCCCTCTCTCTCTCTCTCTCTTCTTTTTTGACCACGGAGCGTTAAAGAATCAAGGCCGCGTGGATATCTTGCTGGAATGAAAAGTCTCGTTGCCGAGAAAAGGGGTAGCAGGGGCAAGAGGGCGGGGGTGGACGAACAAACAATGATGTTCAAGTATAGTTGTATACACCGCGTCTGAAGCAAATGTAAGAGGCATGCAACGAAGCAACATCGAAGCTAACTACGTAACTACCAGTGGTTCCAGCTAGAGACAGAGTAACTACGGTATCTATATACACATATACGTCCCGGAACTATCGATAGAATAGAGAGAGATATGTGTATATACACGTGTATGTATCGTATGTACATTGCAAGTGAACAATCGCATGCATGCTTGGCTCACAGTTTCACTTTTTCCCGGCTGGACCTGTCCACGTCCACGGCGTCCTGTTTTACTTAGTTTCTATTTTCTCACTCTCGTTTCACTAGCTTTCCTATCTTACTCGGAAGGGGGGTTAGAAGGCGTCCAAAATATTCTCGTTTCGCAGCTCTATCGTTACACGATATCGCTTCTCTCGCATTTTCCGCACGCTTTCGTTCGTTCTTGGCAGCGTATGCTCGGATTGGCCGATTCGAACGGAAATTAAAACCTAGACCCGATCCTTTCCTGTTTCTCCTCTCGTCACACCTTTCTTCCTTCTTTCTCCGTTTTCTGCTATCTGTTCCTATCTCTTTTCTATCGTTCTTTGGTCGCCTCTCGGGTCGAGTTCGACCCGTTCGTTATAGTTAACGGTCTATCGTGTTTTCGCTTAGCTTTCTCTGTTTTCTCGCTCGTTTCTCGGTGATTAATTCCTGGTAGCGAACACTTACCATTATCCGCGAGAGTTTCTGAAAATTGAGCAACATGTCGCAAAGGAGGAACCACAAACCTCCCGACGATTTTCGTTCTTTTCTCTCATTTACTCGCTCCTCGCGTGACTCTCTCGTCGTACGAATATGCATGGTTGTGTGTCGGTGAGTCGGGGGGACAAAAAGCTTATCTCGTGCGCAAAATACACGCGAAGATCGCAGGAGCATCGCGATCGTGGAAAAATCTCACCCTCCGGTATCGAGCACCGAGTCGATTTTAAAAAACGATCATCCCCCACGTGTATCGCGGTACTTTTTTACAGAGTACCGTGAAAATACGTATTTCGTTCGCTCTATTTATTTCGTTTAAAAACATCTGCAGGGTATTCCACGAGGCAGTAGAAAAAGCGTTTAAAAAATCGCAAACACACGGAATTGCTTTTACTCATGGAACTCCTGTTTCCGGTACGTGTAATAATCGTACAGGTTTTTTCGACGGGTTTCGTTGGGAATATTTCGCGTAGATGTATCAAAAATCAAAACTATTTCGATTCTTCCAGTATACATATAGATTGGAAAAACATTGATAACCAATAGTCAAGTGAAATATATACGTGCATATATATTTCTTTTTCTCCTATGGCGAGTCGTTTCGGTCCCAAAAATTTCGCTGGAAATTTCCGAAAAAAGAAAAAAGGAAAGAATGGGTTATTCTCCATCCTTCATCGTGCTTTCTATCGATCCTTCCGAGATTAAAGAAACTCTCTCGTTTCGATACGTATCAATCGATTCTCCTTCTTCGCAATCGTCACTCGGTCTGTATATGTGTGTACGTGTGTGGAAAATAAACAGGCGATACGGTTCCTTGTTCGCAGACGATACTTAATTATTCAATCCTCCGATCGATCTGACGTTACAAAAGTGGTATATCTTGCAAGCTCGTTCAGCCGACTCGCTTTCGCTTTCGTGAATACATTACGCGCAAGTGGTACGAGTCAGCCAATAATCCGACACCCTCCTTCCAGAATTCCCGTTTCGCAGACGTTTCGACGTTAGAACGGTGGTGAAAGTGTTGAAATCGAGCGATTCCACGCAGGTCGTAGGGAATCGTGGAAAATCGTGCAAAGTGATTTACGATTCGCTTCATTCCGCGTCGCAAGTCCGTGTAACGGCGAATTCTCCACGCTTTTGCGACTCAGGAAGCCAAGTGATCGAGGGACCAACGTTGGCTCTGCGCGGAAGAGAGACCGTTCCGATGCAACGGTGATTAATCAACGTCGATTGGACGCGTCGACGTCGACGACGAATCAACAACGCCGGAGGAAAAAGAGAAATGGCCGTTTCGACGGGAAATTGCCGCATTTTCCGAGTGCGTCGCAATAGCGAATGCAAGCTCTGCGAACCTAACGCACAGCGTGCCGTCTGTAACGCAGTACCTTCCTACGTTTCGCTATCATAGACTGGAAGACATTTCTCTCGTAGCAGCTATGCGTGACAGAAAACAGAATTCGAACGAAAAGAAGGTGAGAGAAAAGAAAAAGAAAGGGTGAAACAAGGAGAAAAAAGTAGACGATGAACGATGTTGAAAGAATAAAAGGAAGATCGTCTGGCTGAAAGGGGGTACTCGCATACCACGTCGTCCTTTTAAACGACGAGAATCCATCGTTTCTGGACATAGTCTAGATCCCATAACCACGAGCTAAAGCATATTCGCGTGATTTGCCTGTCGAATGTCTCTTTCCTCGGTGTAAACAGAGAGAGAACGGTGTAATTTTCTCACGAAGATTATGTTTATTCATCGTGTTTTTTTGCTCCAATTGCTGCCACGTGTCGCTTCGTACAAACTTGGGATTCACACGGGTTTGGATGCATCGTCGAGACCTAATCTCAGTTTTCCTTCGTAGGGAACATCCGATGAACTTGTGAAATCATGAATCGCTTGATGATGATGCGTGTTTACGATTCTCGAAGATGTGAAGTTGGGTATCGATATCCTGAACGATATCGCGGGATGTGCGAGGAAGAAAAGCGCAGAGAACGTTCTCCGGGATTAATATCGGACTTAATCTTCAGAATATTATCATCCTCTGGAAAATGTATTTCAAAGATTGTTCCAGGGAGGATATTAACTCCGCGAACTATTCTACGGAGAATATTACTTTTCGATGATCAATTATCGAAATATAATTTCCAGAGAATAGTGGAACGCGATAAGTTGTTCGTGTATTAGAAAATGGTACTAAGCGATAATTAGCGATTTTAATATTCGCAGAAGATTCGCGTGCCTTTCTTTGACATAAGGGATCTTTGTGGTACACATGCGATTCTTGCAAAAATAATTTGTTAATGGGTTAATGCTAATTTCTGTCATCGCAAACTTCTTTCCTCGAGATCCCACGATATCTCGCGTGGATCGTGACGTAAGTAGGTCCTCCATTTTGGAGATCTCGCGAATGACACGATTTTCGGTCGAATATGAAGGTTTGCCTACCGATGAATACCGACAAATACCGATGAATACCGAGGAATATCGATAAATACCGATAAATACCGATCGACGGCTTGATGAGATTCGATTCGGGTCCTCGGGGATTTTTCCCGACGATTCGTGTTCTCGTGGCGAATGGACGACAGCGAAACACGGACAGACAGACAGAGAACAGAGGCAGGTAAGAGGAGACACGGGTGTAAAGACAGACGAATGGACCAGGAGGACGGGCTACCCTCTGGGACACAGAGCCCTGTTCATAAGTATCGGGACACTGATGGAATAGGAGGTAAACCTGAAAAATCATTAGGAAATTATTAGAATCTTGAAAAATTCGCTTTTCTCGAATTTTATATCGAGTTTACAGAACCGTCACGTATAACAAGATCAAACGTTATCCTCATCCATATCCTCCATATCACTGCTTTCATCGATTTCGCTGTTTCTCAGAAATATTCTAGGTTTTCTATTATACTTGTAGTCATTCCATTCCACGCATGCTGCAGACTCCACAGGTTAGATTCAGACTTTGGACAGAGTTCTCGAAGTTTCGTGATCTTTCAATGGGGTTTAGAACAGGATTATAAGAGCCGCGAAGTGTGTGAGTTCTGCAGATAAATCTTTGGGAAAGTTTCACTAGCGTTTCGATACGAAATCCACAGCTTGCCGCGCTGCTTGGACCGACTATCGCGTTCTGCATGAAGCCAGTAAATAGACGTCCTAATACTTATGAACGAGGGTACATATATATTATACACCACCGACAGAAAGTTTGGAAGCAGTACAATTCTCTTTTGATTATCCCCGATGCTAATTGGAAACGGTATCTTACGATCCAACGAAGCAAGATACGTCGAGTTTAATTCTACCTCTTCTCGCATCGGCGTTCGTGATAAATTTGCCCGAAAAATAAGCATAGCCGAGGAACCTTCGGATTAGTGGTTGATAAAGTATACTCCGTACAATCCGATAAGACAATGAAACGGTAGAGCACAGTCGCGTAATTATCTCCGTTCGCCATCTCGCGTTCGTGGCTCGCGTTGCAACAAAGAATCGCAGGTCTCGAAATCCTTTCCGGCACTTCGAAACTTTTCGTCGGTAGCGTACAACGTAACATGCAATTTTAGAATAAAAAAAGGAAAAAAAAAGATGCGAAAAAAGATAGAGACAAGTATGCACGATCCGTGTCATATTCAGTCACAATGGTTCTTCGTCGTCTCGAGACATATGCACTCACGCGCGAAAGTATTCGAACGTTCGCGTTTATTACGTTCAACAGTTGAGGTATACAGGTCGAATTGAAACGTTTAAAACGATACAGAGCAACGTATAGTAGGAGAGAAACGTCCACGTTGTGTGAGTAAAATTGAAAAATGATCCGGCGCGATATACGTTGGTTAGAGTACATTCGTTGGAGTTACAGGTCGTGGTGGCGCTAGTGAGTTCGGTAGAAAATTCTTATCTTTTACTTAACGGTACTCTCGACTGACATCGCGCTGCTTTCGAATGGAACCTGCTTGCGATTAATCGCAAAGCTTATAACTTTGATAGCTTTTTAATTTTATTGGCATAATCCTCGAACCTTCTTCTCGGTTGCTAAACGCATCGTTATTGCTCTGAATGTTTCAATTCAACGCGTATATGTGACACGTTGAGCGTATATGAATCTTCGAACACTTTCATGTACGAGTGTACGTGTCGATAATGGCGGCGGTGGCCGCTTCGATATCGTATAATTGCTTCCGTTCCATCATGCTCTGCGACGCGACGATTAGAGAAGCTGGAGGCCGAAAGATTGAATCAGGTTTGAAAAAAAGACCACTCTCGGACTTGCATGATGAAGTCGATTTTTATCATTCATTTCATCGTCACCTTTAGACTCAACCGCGTGTTTGCGATGTTAAGGAGCAGTTTGCAGGCCGAGAGATGTTATCGACCACTTTCTCTTCGGAGTCGAAAGTCATTAAATCTTTGCACGTCTTATACCCGGCTGCAACCGTGCCAAGCGTTCGCGTATACGTTATTCGTCGTTATACCGGGCTGGAAAATCGGCAAACACGGTCGCGATATTTATTTACGATAGATATTGGAACGGAATGCGAGAACCTAACGACGCGTGAACTCAAGGAGCGTAGGATGCACGAGCATCGATAGCGTTGGGGGGTTGTTTCCAGACACGGGAGAATATATCTTTGGGAAGAATTCGCGGAGCAAAGTCGGAAGAAAATACCGACGAAGCGAATAAAATTGAAGGCAGAACGATTTGTGGAAAAACATTCGCGGAAGTGGAGTAAGACGTGAGAATATTCTTGAATGCAAATAAAAAAAAGCATTTGTGAGACACAGATAGTACTTTGTGAAGCATTGGTGATAGTGTAAGCATTTGTGAATAACCTCGTGAATAACAGATATTTACAAGAAAAATGAAATTTGCGAATATTCGGGGGAGAAGATATCCGCGAGCTAAATCAAATTTACGAATATTTTTGAAAAAATAAAATTCGCGATAATTCGCAAAGATCGGTTTTCGAAGAGTAGGAAATTCTGAAAAAGCTATTCGAGAATTAAGTAAAATCCTGATCGATATAGGAGTCATACGCGCGTTACAAGTTGCACTTTCAAACGTCCCATTCTTTCATTTTCGTCTATTTCTAACTCGACGTTCCTTTATTTAAAACGTACCGACGAATGTGCGAATGATAGCTCGTTATCACGTGACCATTGGTTATCAATTCCTCGTCTGCTTAGCCCTAATCCTTTCCTCTTAAACAAAAAGCATCCGTTACGTTAACAACTCGTTGCAATTTCTCTGGTTGCGATAGGTGAAACCGCAATGCAAAAGCAACACACGGCAAAACAGTGTATAATATTAATTACGAACATCACTAGAGCTGGAATAAGACGATCGTTTGAAACTTCCCGACACTAGTGTCGTCAAATTGAACAATCAAGGTGCACCCTTCGTTTCGAACATGTTCCCGACAACAAGGACACACGCAAGGCTCGAGAATCGGACGGACAAAATGACAGATGCAGATCATGATATCGACGATTCCAAGTGTTCCGCAACGATTGCTCTGTCCAGGCTCTAGTAATCACACAGAAAAAGGGGAAATTAAGACAGAAAGAGAAAAGAAAGTGGAAAGAAGTAGGAAAGAAAGAAAAAGAAAGTATAGAGGGTGGCGTAAAAGAGGGGTGATTAAAGGAGCTTCGACTTTCGACTCTCGACTTCGACTGCCTGCGTACGAAGGATCGTATTCTTGCGTTGGAAGCTGGATCGACATTCTTTTTACCGTGACCCTCGAGATCTCGCACGAAGGGTGAAAAGAACAGAACGAGGGGATGGAGCTTGGAGAGAATTCGTCCTTAAGATAATACAGCCCATCAAGAGATATTCCTCGACGAGTGCCGACTTTCCACGCTCTTGTTCCGAAAGTTTCAAGTGATATCTCCTCAAACGATATTTCGGTAGAAAAGCTCGTTTCTTTGGCCGTTCTTCGGTAATCGATAGCAGGCTGTGTCTCGCGTAGGGCTGTCCAAGTGGACGTAAAGGCGAGCTTTCGGCGAAAACTCTGTACTTGCAGCAATTACACGACGGTTAGTCGGACAGAACGAAAACACTCCTGTTAGCAAATGAAATTCACTCAGGCACATTTTGCAAGGGAATCACGAGCCGAGAACAGCGAACGAAAATGCCAGACAATCTCACAGACATTCATATCCGAAGTACTCTGGATCCACACTGCTCCGGAGATATCTTTCTGGGCCGATATTATCTCGAGCGAATTATGCTCGTGGAAGGAGTCCGACTGACTAGTCCGAGAATTAAACGGAGGGACGAGAGGGGAAGAAAAAAGTAGAAAGAAAAAGTACATGACAGGGGATCGAGTATTACCGATTAGGTTCGACACGATCGCTCGCACGCATGATCGAAAGGGATGAAAAGAAGGTCAAACAAGAAAGCAATCCACGGGTCGAGTCTATATCTTATGCATCGTTTCATTGATTTTTCATTATCCGTCGCGCCTCTGTTTTCTTGGGCCCTCTAGCAAAAAGATTCCAACAAGGCACAGACGTGGTTGCAACGACCAGCATAGTCAAAAAATCGAACGTTCCGAAACAATCAAATATACGAATATACGTGTACACGTGTGGATACACGCGTATATCCGTGTGTGATCGTACACCGATCGCACAGATGTACACGTGCACGCATACGTGCATACGTATGTTATAGTAAATATATATATATATATTTATGTATATATATTAACATGACAGTCAACGACATCGAGAAAAATCAACGAGGTGCGACTGATAGCACACATCCAACTGTTAGCGCGGCTTATCCATCGTGTATATATTTATATGTATGTATCACTTGCGAAGCTGCACCCCACATACGTATATATATATACACACCACACGTAATACAAATACAAGTACAAACAAGTGCAAGTCTTACGGCATCATATACACGTGACGTTAAATATTAATAGATATACACAATGTGTGGATATTCAGATTGGTATATATAGGCCTTTTGTTGAGATGATTGACTTAGATTGCACTCACCATCTTATAATCATCTATTTTGCTGATAGAGCGGATTAAGAAGTTGACCATCACATTTGTCGGCTCATCTAATACGTCGACCGGAACAGAACAAAACAAATCGATTAATTAAAAATCAGTTACCGTGCTACCGAGATTTGCATGGATTTATTTTTTTTTTTTTGCATTTTATTTTTTTTTTTTTCTTTGGTTTTTGGTTCTTTTGATTCGTAATTCGGTCACTGCTTGCCGGGATAAACCTTTTTATTTTCATTTGCGTGGAAGAGCTGTATGTGAGTGAAGAAGGGAATGGTAGTCTCTGGGATCGTGACTAGGAGGAATTTTCTTTGACTCTTTGACTTCGTCTTCTTTCTCTTTTTTTCTACGGAAAAGTTCGTGGGAAAAGTTTCCTCGAAACGGTTTCCAGTATCGATCGGTGCAGCTAAAATGAGGCCGGAGAAATCTTTTCTTCTTTTCGACCAGTTCTAACGAGTCGTCGTGATCGCTTGCCCGTTAAGTATCGTTCCTCCGATGGTGTACGACAGGCAGATGACTATGAAATGCCATGGGAGTGTGATCTGTGCGCGTGAAAACATCCAAGCTAGCTAATGCTCCACGATGAGGCGTTTCGTAATGCGATGGGAATCGAATTGCAAAGTAAACGGTGAGGTTATGTTGTGCGACGGCTCGCCACCATCTTGCGGCACACGCAATCATGGCGACTCCCGATACCCGAGGTATACCGGCGTACTACGAATTTTTAAAATTCTCCCAAACTTCTCACGAACGATCTTTCTATACTTTACGCGATAAATAAACGGATTTCTTTGAGAAATAGAAGAATAGAAAAGTTTGGAAAAATGATAAAGAATCGCAGTTCAAGGGATTGTCTTTTGGGTGAAATATATACATTTTAGATGAATGCTAATGGTTTTAATGGAATGATCGAGATGTGGTTATTTTTTGTATTAATTCACGCTTCTGTGGAGAAACGTTGACTCTTTTCACGTAACGTTACTTATCAATTAGGCGTTAACGATGTGGATTCTTCTTGGATCAATGGTCCACGGTTCCACTTTAGATTACCGTATCTGAATTAGCCGAGTTAGTATCGTGCATTGCTTAAATCTTTCGAACAAATTTCTTTCTCCTGTAATAGAAATGGCAGCGGTTAAAATCACAGTCTGAATGAAAGTGGCAACTCTTACGTCTATTGAATTTTGAAATAGTCTTTACTACGTTTGCTATCGCGATCGATCGATCGAGTCTAGCGTCGTCCCATAGATAAAGTACTTCGCAAAGTCCAATCGTGATAAGAGACGAAAACACGATCGCAGTCGCACGTTGAAGATCGGGGGATACCCGGATTGTTAGGTACAATGACAATCGAAAACGGCAACGAGTTGCAATCGATAGCAAACACGAAGATCGCTATTCTCTACGATTGCTACGAACAAAAAAGATCATTGTCCAATTGTAAGCAGTAACATTCTTTCAGCGACGATGTGCAGCTTATCTGAAAGGATGGTAAACGAGTCGAAGTCGAAACAAAAGGAAAAATCTCTTGACAATGGATGATGGACTGAACTCTTGTGAAGGTACTCGATATATAGCTCGTGAGGAATGAGATGAAAATGATCGCTTCGTATCTTTCAAGCAGCTTCCAGACGGTGATAGCGAACGATCCTTGCTTCGTTGTTTCTGTTGCAGGTCATAGAGAAACGAAGGAGAACCATTGGAATCGTCAAAAGTATCGCGATTCGTTTCTCCAAACAAATTTTCTACGGCCTTCTAAAATTCTGTGCCGAATGCTTCCGCTGGCAAGAAATTTGCCACGGGGACACGAGGAAGGGTAAATATAAAAGCTCGTACGCGTATCCAACAGATTTCTCACGCGGTGTCGGAGTAGCTCGAAACATAGTAAAAATCGTGTAACGAGGGGTAACGCGAAAAAGATACGGAAAAGAATGCAGAAAAATGTAACAAGAGAAAGCATCGTAAAAATGGTAAAACGTTTTGAAAATCGTTCAACGGGCGAAAGGTTTAATCCATGGTAAACTGCTTCATGGCGACACGAGACCTCTCTGCCACGACTTCGTTTCCACCGTAACCATCGTCGTTTCGTCGTTCGTTTGTCGAAATTCGCATACTTTAAACTCTGCAGACGCCATTTCGCAGAAATCGGTAGGTTCGATTAATGTTATACATTCTTAATACCTATCTCCATAATTTTCGCCTTCTTTCCTTGATAAATGATTTAAAATTGTACAAACATCTGTACAACATGCTACGCATGCCCCGTCATCGTTTAATCCCTTACTGCATTATGCTTCTTTCCTCTTTCGTTCCTTCTTTTCCCTTGATACAAATTTTCCCTCGTTAAACTTCAGTTTAGACAGCAAAACGATTGGAGAGTAGCTTGAAGACTGACAAAGACATGATTTCCTTGCTACTGCTAGGCTACAGCGAGCGAGGAAATTGAGTTTGTCAGATTCGAAGTAGAAATTTAATTTTATACACGTATATATTTTTTAATGTCGTGAGAATCGGGATTATAAGAAAATCGTATCGGAAGTTGATCAGATAAAATATTCGCGATTATAATTTCGGTATTAAACGTATTTACAGTATCGATCAACGGGTGATTAAAAGAAATAAGTTCTTCTACGTGGGCGAGACATAAATATCGTTATTCGATCGTAAAGACTGGTCGTAAGTAATAGCCGAAGCATCGTAAGTTCTACAAAATTGATATAAGACGGGTAGAAAAATGGCAATTCTGCGATTACAAACTGCGACGTGAAAAGAAAAAGTAGTGAAAAGAAGAATTACGATTTCGATAAGAAAATGGAGGAAAAAGAAAGAGGACAAAGAGGCTAATCGTTCTACGCAGACAGATCGTGAGAAAAGACATGCGAGAAATAAAAAAGGAATGACTCACCAGTTGAACGGATCTCGCAGTTTGAAGGAAAAGTATTCAGCTCTACTGCTATAGCACGTAGAAGACGAAATTCAAAAACTACGAAATATCTGTCGAAACAATTACGATTATTATAAAGAACGTAAAAGTGGCTAAAAGTCCGATCTAATCGTGGCGGTTGTAAGTAGAAATGAAAAAAAGCATCGTAAGCCAAAGTTGGGAAATATTTCTTGCAAGTGTCGAAAAACGGCTGTATCGTCGAAAAATCGTGGCAAAATTCTGGGAACATCCCAGCACCCCGATTCTCAGGCCCGAAAAATCGTCGTAGTCGACACCTTCGAGCGTGCTTTCCAAAAAATCCTGCGAAAAGCGGCGTAAAAGCGTAAATCAGCCCCGAAAGAGCGAACGAATGGCGAAACGGAAGCCACAAACGTCAAAGTGTCTGATAAACGGGAAAATTGTGTAAACTTTTCGTAAAAGAAGCTGTCTAACGGGAGAAGAGACAGGAACGACAACGATATTTTAGAAATAACGTAACAGCGACACGAACGCTCGTCAAGCGTTCCCGTTGAACGAAAATACTGGTGAAAACACCCATAGATTCGGCAAGAAATGTAAAAAGACGCATCTGTGTGCGGGAAACCGAGGAACGATCTTCGCGAACTAATAAAAACGCGTGTAATTATTTATGCAATAAGGGATCAAAGATGTAAGTTCTCGGCAGCCGTTGTAAATATAATCACGAGTGCGATATACAATAACAAAAGGGTTAATAAAACGAGTAAAGAATCGAACAAGAAATTCGAGGTGTTCGTAATATCGTTAATACGTGTGTGAGTATGCGGTGGCGCTGCCGGTCGCGCGGCCATTTTGTTCGCGCTTGAACGGACCACGCGTGAACGTGATTTAAAAAGGGGAAAAAGAAACGAATGCGAACGTGAAAAAAAACGTCAAGTTTCATTAAATCATCTACGACACAATAGCGTGTGAGCGACAGTAAGTATGTGGTGTGGTCTTCTTTTTTTTTCTTTTTTAAATTACGCGCAGCACGACGATATTTGCCAATTATTAATTCAGATAGTAATTTAAGTAAAATAAAAACGCGCGTTGTTAATACCTACGAAAAATTTCAATATTTGAAGCGAAAGTATCATTTTGTTGCTATCATTGACGTCATTGTCGATTACGACGTTATTATTAACAATGCTTTTTTTTATATTTTTGATCCATATTTTCTCGTGTTAATTTTTGCTCTTTTTATCTCTTTTTTATTGATTTTAGTTTAGAAAAATTGTAGTCGTGCTGTTCGTAACAGTCGAGTTTCTCTTAGGCATACAAAATATATGCTTGCTTAATATAACATACGAGATAGTATAACAGTGGAATTAAAAAAGTTCATGATAGTGGGCCTTAAATACACACGAGAGAGCCTGGTACACAACACAAAGAGAAACAACACAGAGAGGTAAAGAGAAAACGTGTAACGTGTAACGTGTGTTTCTTCGTCTCTTTTCCTTCAATTTCCCATTTCCTTTTGGCTTATGTACTTATATATATGTGTATCTTTTTTCTTTCTTGCGAGACAAAGAGCAGCGTTATGTAGAATACTATGTAGCGAATTAACAGTGAACACATATGTATATAATACATTTAATATGATACATTAATATGTATGTATTATCATACAAACACATAGTACGTGATATTCATTGCACGTCTAGCTACTATTCTCTGGACAACTAGAATATAGATTTTCCGGGATTCTAGTACGACTAAACGTTCAATGTCTATCCGCATACTATCCGATTACCATACAGAACGCTCGTGAAAAGTGACTTTAGAGGATTTCAACTATAAAACTGCGAAAAATCGGTGTCAGACCATGTACTATTGCATACTAAAAGGATCGAAAAATTCTCGTCTATCGTATCACTGAATAACACTTCGATCGTAGAAAGAACTTTTTTCCAGGCTATTCGTATAATTAATCATCGTCATCGATTAATCCACGACCAACTTGGAAATTTCCTGAAAATTCTACAAATTTTCTGCAAACACGCGGGACACGGAGCAAAGTTTTCTCTTTTCATTCTTTCATTTCGTTTTCTTTTCTTTTCTTTTTCGCTTTCTTTTTACGAGAACAGTAGGTTGGAAATTCGGAAAAAAAGG